TCTCTCTCTCTCTCTCTCTCTCTCTCTCTCTGATAGAAAAAAAAACTTTTGACATAAGCATCATATTTCAGGATACCAAATGGGCTTTTCTCCATAGAGTTTTCAGAGTTACTAACACTAGACTTTTTTAGGAGTGGATACATGATGAGATTTGTAATTTACACTTTTAAATTTTCAAAAAGGATATAAAATCATGATGTAGTCCTTAAAACTGTTGGTATTATGCTCAAGCCACTAATTGTGCATACTTGGGTTGATTCCACAAGTTTTCTGGCACTCAGACTCCCCATCTTGAAGAGAAATAAAATATTACCAAACTCTGAATACGTGGAAACAAATAAAACAATACACATGGAGCCCCTAAGGCAGCATGTGACAGATAATAATAAGATATTATGCTCATAATAATAATAAGATATTATGCTCATAATAAGATAATATGCTCAACAGCAGCATACATAGCAAAAGACAAATCTTTCTTTCTCCGAGTTAGGAACATCTGTTACTTCTAATCTAAATAAGTTATGACTATAATCAACACTGTATAGCCAAGTGAAATTCAAACAGCTTTGCTCGTTCTTGAGTATCATTTTATTTATTCATTCTAAAACATTCATATTTACCATGCTTCCTCCAGAAGTCTCCATCCTGTGGTTTTAGATTATACGTAGGGCTTTCTGAAGGTCTATGGAGAACACTGACATAAAGCATGAGAAATTCTAGAGCTGCAGGACACTTACAGTAACTGGTGGAATAAAGGCATCCTATTTCTACAATCACACACTAGCAAATGATGCAGAAAAGTACAGTAAAGGTAAGAAATTGTGACTCGGGACACAGAATACAGTCTGATTTGAGCCGTGTGCATGTGATGTCATAATTAACATTCGTTTCCTCCCTCAGAATTGTTCAAAGACTCATAAATGACAGAAGCGCTGAATTACTTTAATGCTTGTTTTCATGACTTGCCATCCTGTTATAATGAATTAAATGATTAAAATACAAGAAAAAAAAGATTCAGATGTTAATCATATGACCAGGTTCAAAAGAGAAAGGATAATTTTTAAATAGTTTTTTTTTTAACTTCTAGAAATAGTGAGAATATAAAAGTTAAGATATTTAAAACAATCAGTGGAGGAATATCAAAAGGAAGGAAACAGACCTGAAGGCTAAAGAGAACCCATTTCCGAGTCATCAAGGAGAGAAATATGCTTAACTAGATAGGTAAGAAATCAGCATTTAGGTTTTTTTTTTTTTTTTTTTGGTTTTTCTCCGGTACCGGGAACCGAACTCACGACCTTGCACTTGCCAGGCAGGCGCTTTTGCCGCTGAGCTAAATCCCCAGCCCCAGCATTTAGTTTTTGAAGCAAATTATTTCAAATCCAAAGAACTCTGGATTTAAAAGCAGAAGAGTAGGAAAATTGAGAAGTATCTTAACCTCTACTTTTACTTGATATAACTATACTTATTTAGAAAAAAATGTACGCTGATGTGACTGATACATACATATATGTACATAGATATGCTTTTAAAATTAATTTATGTTTTTGTTTGTTTGTTTGTTTGGTTTTTTTTTCCGGTACCTGAAATCGAACTCACGATGTTGCGCTTGCCAGCCTAAAATTAATTTATTGAAATATAGTTATAAAACACTACTTACAATGACAACCTTATTACTATTCTTGTTTTAGTTTTGAATGTTATATATTTTTTGAAGTTGCAAAGGATCAGTTTCAGAATGCTTAGTGCTAAAATGATATTTGTTGCTAAAATCAATGGGACTTTTCCTCATTACCATATTTTCCTCATAATTTTACTGTATTAGAAGTGTTATTTACAGATGCATATATCGTTAATTTCTAGTATGTCCATTTACATAATTGTCTTTCTATTACTAATCACATCAGCTATTTCTAAAGTTTCACTACTATTATGTTACATCTGCACCACTTTCTCCTATGAAACTGCTCTACCTCAACTTACTTTTGGAATAAATGTTTAAGGTTTAGGTAACCAGTATAAAAATTACATCCAGGTTTGCAATTCTGAAAATATGCGCTAAAGTGTTTTCCAAAATGGAACAGGCACAACTTAAATGTAATGTGATTTTAAATAACCCAGAGTTCATTCCTACAACTGGTTTAATTTCCAGTTTGTTTACTGTGTGGACACTCTTAAAAATAATGCTGATACCACAGTTTCATACCTGCTTCTTTATACTTTACCTAGCATGTGCATAGAGACTTCATTTGCTCTCCTGATCAGGCGCCTTGAGCAAGTATTACCGTGTCCATTTTAAAGGCAAGTGGACTGAAAACATCAGTTTATTGAATGATGAGTGAAGCTTTTTTTTAATGACAAACTATGAATATTGTATTTAATTAACTTTTTATTTAGAGAAATGAAATGATTACAAAATTTGCCAAGATAGTATGAAGAGCTCCTCTGTACTCGTCATTTCTTTATTCCTAATATTAGCATTAATATTATCGTGGGTACAGCTGTTGAAATTACAAAATTAATAGTAATAAATAGTGCTAAAAACTAGACTTCAGTCGGAATTTTTGTGTTTTTCATGGCAGTCTTTTCTGTGCATTCTGGATTTCAGTCCAGAGGACTGCACAGCATTTAGAAAATCTGAAACTTGTCATCAGCAGCAACCAGTCTCCATTATAAAAGTTTGACATTAATTTTAGAAATTCATATCTGAGAAATGTGTGTTGGTTTGCACTTGGCTGATAAGTGTTTTAGTGCTAAAATTGTATAGTACTCTTAAATTTTGCCAGGCAGAGTAAATGAGTATATTAAGAATAATTTCACTATTACATTAATATATTGTCTTGGTCTTTCTCTCCAAAGTCAAAATCAATCCATCTATCTATCAGTCTAAATGTTTTCTTACTGTGAATAATGCTACTTTAAACAGTAATATATGCGTTTAAATGGCAAGAAGGCCACAAAGTGTATTAAAATATTATTAAGAACATTTAGAAGTGCTTTGTATTTAAAAATAATGTGTCTTTACTGTGACAAAATGAAATGTTTCACATTAGTTAATAAATAAAAGCAAAAATACAAACATTTACTGGTCTTATGCACAGTAAAGCAGGAGTTACAGTTAAAACAGTGCCATTTCTGCCCTGTGTCAATGACTCTGATTGTAATTCAAAACCATGTTCTGGATTTATGATGGCGTAAGTGTTTTTATGAGTATTTATTGTCAGATCCTTAAAGAATCCTGTAGATAGATCATTTTATTATGCTCACTAACAGAAAGGAAATGCAGGCTTTGAGAATTTTAGTAACTATTCAGTCCTGCACAAATAGTACAACTGAGTTTTGAAATCAGGTCTGCATGACTTTACAGCCTGTGTTCTGACGTATTTTATCTTTTTGTCTCCATGGCGCTGGTCCTGAACTAACCTAATTGTTTGTTGCTGGTTAATATATTGATGTTTGATTCAATGACCTTTTAGGGTTTATTTTATACAGTTGTTTCATGGTTAGACCTTTTCGTTGGATATTAAGTTCAGAATGCAAAAATCATTTAGGAATGTCTGAAACATTTAGAAAATAATGGAAACGGCTGCTTCAAAGTAAAAGAGAGAGCGACAGTAACATACACAATAATTTATTTTTAAATACTCTTGACATTTAAGATGATTCCTATAAACCAAACATGCCATTTAGAACATCAGGTTATTTTTAGCTCTTACATTAAGCTCTTTGTTCTTTTATTTATATACTTAATAAACATATGTAAGTTACTATACACATGTGTATGTGCACACAACCTAACAAAATATCATTAGGCACTGGTAAAATATATGGGTGAGGACATCTTCTTTAATTTTCAATATTTTCTATAATTTAAATCAAACTTTGAAGAAATTATGCAGACAAAACATGTGTTACCTTCTGAGCCTACACCATTTGCTCTGTTTCTTGTAGCAAAATACCTCATTCAAACATGTGCAAAGCATCGGGGGCTTTAATGTGTACAGACAGATGGAGACTAGAAAAGCCACCCCTACCTATGTCCTTGATGGAAAAGAAATAACCCCACTTTTTGCTGTTGCTCCAAGGTAGTGGTATCTGTTAGGGAACAGAGATTCCGAGTCTAAAATTCCATTCCCAGCAACTTTGGTTTGCTTGAATGCAATGTCTTAATCATGAGTTTCTCACCAATAACATGTATAACACGGTCTACAACAGTCTGCTTCCTAGGAGGTTAAAATCTGAAGAATTACTTCATTTTGTTATCATGACAACATGCTGAAATAGCTATTGTTTTATAAGCTTTTAGAATGATGACTACTTTGAAAACTCTCAAAATTTAATCTGTACTCATGATGTGTTAAGTATAGAGCTACACACATTTGCATGGGTCTTTGCCTTTTGTAAGGAACGAGTTATTACTCATTATTATTTACTTAAAGATGCAATTCAGTTCAGAGGTTTACAGAGATGTTTGAGGAGTAGCTTTGATTTTCAAGAGTTTTGTATCTGTATGTTATTTCTTGTCTTTGTAGCTAAGGCTGTCTCTTGGTCAGGGTTGGTGTTCAAGCTATCACATACCAGGTTACTAGCAGCCAGGATTAAGAAAATAACAGGACTTGTATAGGGCTCAGGACACCTTCCAAGAATTCAATCCAGTAAACCACTACTAATAAATGAAATTTGGGACCTGAGATGAAAAGTATTTCTCATCCTTGCTACAAGTGGAACTCAAATTTCTTTATTGAAACTCAACAATTTAAAATGATTGATATTTTGTTTCATCTCAATTCTTCATGATCTCCCTCCTCTAGGCTTAATGTTTCCAATTTTGTGAACTCAGGACACATGAGATTGTGCTATGAGCATGCACCAAATTGTTTATGATGACAGTACCAGAAATGATCTGAAACAAAGTTTTCTTTCTTATGATTGCAGATCCCACATGTTCGGGATGCCTTCCCACCTTTCCTCTGAAGTCATGCATAACCAAAGTGCTGTGACAGAGTTTGTGCTCCTGGGGCTCTCACAGAATCCAAGAGTTCAGAAAATAGCATTTCTTGTATTTCTGTTGGTCTACATTGCAACTATGGGGGGCAACATGCTAGTCATAGTGACCATCGTCTGCACCCCTACTCTGCTGGGCTGCCCCATGTACTTCTTTTTGGTATTCTTGTCTTCCCTGGATGCATGCTTCTCCTCAGTTATCACCCCAAAGGCAATTGCAGACACTCTCCACGAGAGGAACACCATCTCCTATGAAGGCTGCCTGATACAGGTCTTTGGTGTACACTTCCTTGCTGGTGCAGAGGTGATTGTGCTCACAGCCATGGCCTATGACCGCTATGTGGCCATCTGCAAGCCCTTGCACTACCCTTCCATCATGAACTGGAGGCTCTGTGGCATTCTGATGGGCATCGCCCTGACAGGAGGCTTCCTGCATTCCATGATTCAAATTTCCTTTACTTTCCACCTGTCGTTCTGTGGCTCCAGGGTCATAGATCACATCATGTGTGACCTGTACCCGCTCCTGAAGCTTGCTTGTAATGACACTCACATCTTGCATCTTTTGGTGTTTGCCAACAGTGGGTCTTTCTGCATCCTCATCTTCTCTATGTTGCTTGTATCCTATGGTGTCATCTTGTTCTCCCTGAGAAACCACAGTTCTGAAGGGCGTAAGAAGGCGCTGTCCACCTGTGGCTCTCACGTTGCTGTTGTGGTTTTATTTTTTGTCCCGTGCATTTTTATGTATGCACGGCCTCCATCTGCTTACTTCTTTGATAAATTTGTGGCCATATTTTGCACCACGTTAACTCCCTTGCTCAATCCTATGATTTATACTTTCCGGAATAAGGACATGAAGAGTGCCAGGAGAAAACTGTGCAAGAGATTGGTGGTGCTGTCTGATGAAAAATAAAACATTAGACTTCTAAAAGAATTAATTTAAGATGAAAATGTCAAAATGATCCTAGATATTTATAAGGTGTATGTTGTGTACACACAGGGAGCTAACATAATACAATAGAAAAAGTACTTTCAAGTTTACCTGGAAATAACATTTTCACCCCCAGATTACTGATCATCCCTGAGATGGAAACTCAGTATCCTCTGTGTCAATCAAAATGATTTGAATTTATCCCTACTTTGAGTGTAGTGATCAAAACAGAACGTTTGAAATGATGCACTGCCTATCCAACTGGTATTCACTCCATGCCTTGAAAAACATTACTTATGGAATAAAAACTTTATAGATATTAGAAAGAGAAACTTAAAGCATTTCAAGAAAAAACTATATATGTTTAGGGCACTGTCCTCAGTGCTTAATTAAAAAAAAAAAAGACAACAGAGAGAGAGAGAATTTTCAGAATTTCAAATATAAATGTTCTTGGATCACAGGACTCCACCATTTGGTGCATCCATTACTATCAGCTACAGAATTTGAGTCAATTTATTAATATTTGACATCAAAATTTCTCAAGTCTTGCCTACAGATAAGTTTCTGTCAAGCCCCTTGACCATGTCATAGCAATTAGCCATGGCATAGGAAAAAGGGCAGATTCCCCAAGGGGACAGGTGAGCATCTCCACTAACATTACAAAAGAGAGACTCTGCAGCCTTTGGGAGACCATCTAAGTGACTAGAAAATCCAATTCTGAACTTGCAAATGTGTGTAACTGATGTTTTCTCTCCAAGGGGAAGAGTAGAAGCCAAAGTTATCTGAAGATTCTCAAAAGATCACTATATTTCAAGTTACTCAGTGATTTCATTTCTTAATCCAAATGATGTCTTTTGGGCTAGTCCATTAGTGGTTAAGAATAGTTCCTAAAATATCACATAGACAATGTGCATTCACTGAGACAGAAGTGCAATAATTCATGGACATGGTAAGGTGCTTTTCCTCCTCTTCTGTCTTTGCCATCATTGTCTACCATATATAAAAGATCATCTCCTAATGTTACTTCCCTTCTCACAGAGGATTTATTTTTATGTGGCTCATTTATATCTACAAATTAGTAAGAAAGAAGTAGCTGAAATCATTCGTTTAACTTTTTCATGAATTTGAGAATCTAAGATTGTATGTTCTGTAAAACAAAAATATTATTCTCATCAAATAGTGGTAACCAAGGAAGATTCATATCTGACCCAGAAAAGACTCAGATTAAAATAAATTTCCATTATTTTAACTCTCAGCAGCCCACTATTAACTCTGATTATAATATTCAATGAGAAAGTCAAATATAATATTCAATAAAGGAAAATACAAATACTAAAAGGTATGTATCTGACCTTTTTCATCCCACCAAATTTGATGAACCACATTTTACAAATATTTTCCAGCAATAATTATTGTTTTAATTGTTTTATACCCCACTTTGTTTTGGCTTATAGATATTGAATTTCAATGGTTTCTTTGCAGGCCATCCAACTGTTTTGCTGCCATTAAATGGTCTGTTTTAGTCATTATAGTCAGTGAAAGAATTTTCAGAAGCATATTGCCAATTTAAAAATATGGAAATTTTTAAAAGACTGCCTCTGGATGTCTGAAAGAGTCAGTAATACCAATTTCTAAATTTAAAAAGTGAAATAGTTTCACATGATAATGTATACAATTTTATCAATTTAAACTAAAATATCAAAAGAATTACATACAGTATTAAGAGTTGAATCTAGAACACGCCAACTTTAATGGATTTATTATTATCATTGCATTATCATAAATCAGGTTAAAGGAGGAGTTTCCACCACATCATGGAATTGTTCTCCATTCTAATGAAAGAAAAGGCAAAATGCTTATGGTGATATCTAAGACTACAAAGTTGGGTTTCCTTAACTTCCCTCAGTACTTCTCATTCCCTTTCAGGAATTTGCTACAATACCTCCTGCCTCACAGCCTGTGCATGGCCCCCTTGGCTTGAAACATTCTCCTTCCTTTCGTATACTTCATGGTTAACTGCACCATCTCCTATGTAACAAATGCTACTCAGTCTGTGATTTTAAAACTACCATCTTTTCATCTCACTTTATTGGCTTTCATTAGCATGTTCCCACCATCTTTGACCACCCTAAATACATCTATTGGTGTCTTAGTTACTTTTTTCTGGTTGCTGAGACAAAATATCTGACACCCAAAATTAAGGAAGGAAAGATTTATTTAGCCCGCATTTTGCGGAGGTTTCAGTTCATACTCAGCTGGCTCAAAAGCAGAGTGGCATGTGGCAGAGGGCAAGGATTCATGGCATAAGAAAATGGCAAAAGCAACAAGAGCAAATAAATAAATAAATAAATAAATAAATAAATAAGGGAGGCACGTGGGGAAACAAGCCTCTTTTCCTCCCTTACAGCTATCCGCCCCAGGGCAAGTGTAACACTCACACCCATAATCCCAGCGTTGGATAATGGATCAATCATAAACTCTAGAAGTCAGTCCCGTGACTGCAGGAGGCTTTGGGGGGACATCCAGACACAAACCATAACACCTGGAAATGTTTGTTTTCCAGGCCTAAGACTCTTCAGTCTTTACTAGAGTTATCTTATTAAAATAAAGGAGCTTTAGACTTGTTATTAAAAGATTTGGATTCTGGAGTTTCTTCTATTACTAAATAAATATGTGACCTTGGATAATTTCACTTCTCTGCATCTCAGTTTATTTTGAGAAAGTAGAATTAATAAGAACACAAAAATATTTCTTCTGCACTTCTCAGAGTCCATGCTTTTTTCTTTTCATGTGTTATGTATTTTGTACAATATAAATTCCCATTTCATTTGTCTTCAAATTCCCATTTAATTGGTGACCAAATGGAGTCCCAAAGAATTCAAAGGACACAAGCAAAAACTTTGTCAAGATTCTTCCAGTCCATTGGTGGTAGCAAAAACAATAAGAAAAACAATGAAAAGGGTATTGGAGTATGGTATTCTTTTAGATGTTTCTCTCAGACACTAGATGTTTGAGGTTCGATATTAGGTTGTTTATTTCAGGTTGCTCTATTTTCTTGATTTCAGTGTTCACTGCTATAAATTTCCCTCTTAGTACTGCTTTCACTATGTAACATTAGTTCCATTACATTGTATCAGCATTATCAACTAACTGTAGAAACTGTCTAATGTCTCTTAATTTCCTCTGTGATCCACTGATTGTTCAAGAGGGTATTATTTCATTTCCATGTATTTATATAGTTTTTGTAAATTCTTTTTCCACTGATTTCCAGTTTCATTGCACTATAGACAGATAACACCCATGGGATAATTTCAATTCCTTTCAATTTACTTAAACATATTCTACGAGCTAGTATGGGGTCTGTTTTGGAGGATGTCCCATGCAAAGCTGAAAAGAATATGTATTGTGATGTTGTGGAACAGAACACCCTGTAGATATCTACTTAAGCCCATCTGTTCACAGGTTTTGTTTGGTTCTGGTAGTTCTTTGCTGATTTTTTGTCTGGCTGACCTGGCTATTTGTGACAGTATGGTAGTGAGGTCCCCTATTAAAATTGTGTTAGTGCCTGTCTGATTTTCCATGTCCATCAATATTTATTTTATACAGCTGTGTGTATGGATATTTGGTGCATATATAGTTATGATTGTTATCTTTCTCTCAGGAGCTTTCCCTTAAGAAGTATGTAGAAGAATTGATACTTTGAAAGATTAAATAAAATTGACAAACCCCTACCCAATCATATCAAGAAAAGGAAAGAAAAGACTGAAATCCATGTAATTCAGAATGAAAAGGGTGAAACCACAATACAACCTGCAGAAGTCCAGAAGATCAATGATACCTATTTTGACAACCTGTACACAAATAAGATGGACAACACAGAAGACATGGACAGGTTCCTAGATACATAAGAATTACCAAAGTTGAATCAAGAAGATATAAAAAAACTAAATAACTCAATATCTGTCAATGAAATTGAAGATATAAGAAACACTGAACAACAAAGAAAAACCTAGTTCCTGATAGATTCACAGCTGTATTCTACAAGAAATTAAGAGAATATCTAATGCTACTATCCCTTGAAATTTTTAATAAAATTGAAAGGTAAGCAATATTCTTAAAGTCATTCCTGGAAGCAAATATTACCCTGAAAGCAAAACCAAAGAAGGATCAAACCAAAAAATAGAACTACAGGCCAATTTCTCTAATGGACCTAAACCCAAAAATCCTCTATAAGATACTAACAAATAGAATGCAGTAAATCATCAAGAAAATCATTATACACAATCATCAAGTAAGATTCATTCCAGGGATGCAAAGATGGTTCAACATAAGGAAATCAATTACTGTGTGCACCATATCAACAGGGCCAAGATCAAAAACCCATGATCATCTCTATAGATGCTGAAAAAGAATTTGACAAAATCCAACAACCATTCAGTATAAAAACCTTACAGAAAAGAGGAATGGATGACTTTTCACTCAATCTGATAAAAGCCATCTATGACAAGCCAACAGCCAATATCACATTAAATGGTCAAAAACTGAAAGCTTTACCTCTAAAATCAAGAACAAGAAAAGAGTGTCACTGACACTACTCCTACTCAATATATTTCAGAAACATTAAAATAATTAGACAAGGGAAAAAAATAAAAGAAATAAAAATACAAAAGCAAGAAGTAAAATTAAAATTATTTGTCAATGACATGATACTCTCCAGAGAAGAACCCAAAAGCTCCATCTAAAGACTTCTAGATTTAATAACCAAATCTAGTAGCATAGCTGGATACAAAATCAGTTTTCAAAATCAGTAACATTCCTATACACAAATAACAAACTCACTGAGAGAGAATTTAGGGAAACCACATATTTCACAATAGCACTGAAAAAGAATGAAATACATAGGAATGAATCCCACAAAGGAAGTAAAAGATCTTTACACTGAAAACTAAAGCACTCTGAAAAAGGAGATCAAAGAGAATATC